CTTTCCCTAGATGCCAATTAAGTGGATGGCTCTGGAGTGCATACACTACAGGAAATTTACCCATCAGAGTGATGTTTGGAGCTATGGTAAAACTTCATGTTATTAGTTTAAAAATTTGTCTCTTGTAAAGCATTAAACCAAGAGGTGTTACAGTGTTAAAGATACCCTCTTTTCCTAGAGGAGTAAATCCCAGTGGGTTTTGCTTTTCCTTTTTTTTTTTTTTTCCCCTTTTTCTGGATTTTTTTCTTTTTTATTGAATCTGTAACTCTAAACAGCAATCGTAACTTGTCTCTTGCGTTACTTCCCTGCTCACTAAAGCACATTATCATGATGTCCCTGCTGGGATGACTGCCGTAAGGTCTGGGCTGGTAGCAGTTTGGCTGATTGTTATGACAGAAGAAGGCCTCTTTCAGCTCAGCCACAGATTCATAAAAATACAGCTGGAGGTCATAATTTTCAGCAGTCCTTTGAAAATCTTAACTCTAAAAGCCATGAATGTCAAAAAACATTTTCAGGCTTATGGGACTTTCTGTACCTACAGTCAGATAAAAGGGAATTTGTCATAATACAGAGCAAATACAGCAAGAGAAAAAAAAGAAAGAGACAAGCTCTCCAAGCTAACTAAAACAAGCATCCGTTTAATTTCACTGATAACTTGGGAATTGGTTACACAGTTCTGTTCATATGGACTCTGCACACACCAAAAAAATAAAAAGTCACATTTGAGAATTGAGATGTTCATTTATTGTTGTTAATTCTGTTATCCAGACGAGCTATTGTGCCACATCTGCTGAGCTGTCTGCCTGTTTATCTAGTGTAGCTGTTACTAATAAAATCATGTGTACCTTTGTAAGTGGAATTATTCAGCAGTATCTAGGGCTATGGGCTCCTATTTGCATTTCCTGTTGCCATTTCATTTGGAAACAAAAAGGTGTACAATTCTATTCATTACTCACTTTTACCTGTGGGTAGCAGCAGAAGACACTGTTTGCTGTGACTGGTTAGCTGCCCTCTTCTATTCAGCTGAGAAAAACATATGAAAGTTAAATTGATCATGTAAAGCTGCTCTTTATCCTCAAATTCTGTATACTCCATATCACTTAGAAAAAAAATATGCCTCCATTTATGAAATTTATTTTAAATGCAGGAAGCCCAGAATAACTATAATCAGAAAGGACAAGACTAAAAACAATTGGCAAGTTATAGTTATTGAATATCAACAAAGAGGTAAATGAGGGTGAAAAAAAAATGTGTTTTATACATGTGGTAATTTTGCCCATCACCTTTTACATTAGCATCACAGCTGGCAAAATACAGTTACTGATCTGGAGGCAAGTTTAAAATGACCTTTGCAATACAAATAAAAGTTAAACTGGTGTGAGGGCAGCATTTTCAGTATTTAAGATTTTGTTACTTATATAATCTTTATTTCCAGCTCAGATGCCAAAACAAATCCTATAGCTATTCAAAAAGAGAATCACCAAAAGGTGATTTAAGGAAAAAATAATACAAATGGCTGTGAATGACTTAGAAGGCAAAGACAGTGACATAGTGTTACTCAGTGCTGTACCTTTATGGGAAATTGATGCTCTAAGTTAGGGAACATCTGCAGTTTTTCCCCTTAAAATAACAGATTACATCAGACATTAATTTTCCCTTTTGATATGATAAAAGAGCGCGATGCATTCTTCTGTTATTGCATCCATTTACTTTACCACCATTTATTTGTCCTTAGACCTTTCTTTTGTGCCTCAGATCTATCACACCACTTCTAACACCAATAAAAGTGAGGGAAGTTGCTTTTGAAGATTAACAAAAAGTGCTGTTTTACCATTTTCGGGAGCTTTTTAAATGGCAGAACAAACCTCAGTGTTTTTACAGGCACTGGTAATGAAGAGATTGCAGCCCAGAACTGGGCCAGAATACTGCACTGTAAGAAATTGCGAAGGACTCTGAGTAGCATGATCTCAAATACTAACACTCTGTTTTTGTGTGTATCTAGGAGTCACTATTTGGGAGCTTATGACCTTTGGTGGGAAGCCGTATGATGGAATCCCAACTCGAGAGATCCCTGACCTCTTGGAGAAGGGAGAGCGGTTACCCCAGCCTCCAATCTGCACTATTGATGTTTATATGGTGATGGTGAAGTGTAAGTATTCGTTGCTCTTAACATCACAATGCTCAGTGCAAGAGGGACTCTATTTTAGAACATTTACATCTGTAGTCTCTGGCAGTGCTGGGTAGTAGGGCAGGCTGCTTCAAAACAAAGACTCCCCGAGATACTGTAAATGCCATTTAAATACTGTATGCACATTTTTTTGCAATTGCAAAAGATATGAATGTCCATTAAGGGTTGAGTTAGCTCAGCTTCTTATTACTGTCAGATGGTATCTCATTCATATTCTTGCTGTGAAGTCAAAATTGTATGATTGTTATTGTAAACCCTTGTCATTTCCATGACAATTGATTTTGATGTTAAAAAAGATAGTATTAAACATAATTATGGTATTGGATACTCAGCCAGTGGAGGTTGTGAGGAGAAATGCTGGTTCCAGATATTGAGGAAAGAAAGCATGAAGATTTTATTGTTAGTAACAAGAATGTTGATTGCAATCATAATAATAAAAAATAAAATCAAATGAATACAAGAAATGCTACAGAGAGGATGATTTTTTTGTCATTCTTAGTCCAGTACAATAGTTTATGAATATTTTTACTTAAGTGACAAAGGAGAACAGTCTGTACATGGTTTCTTCCTACCCTTTTATCTCCAAGATACCCACAGTAGTGACAAGTATCCTCCAAGGTTATGCTTCTAATTTAAAAAGAATTAGGAACATTGTCTGGTGTTACTGACTTAATTTAAATGAGATTAACATACAGACATCGCATCCACCTTATGTGGTCCTTTCCCTTTTGCTTTGTACACAAAAACACTGAAAGAAAGAAAATAAAACTAGAAGAAGTAAATATCTTCTGAAAACAGTTGTACTGTGTGTGCAGGTATAGAAATTGTCTGAATAGTGCGATGGGTTTGTGTTGTTTGAGTGCAGAAATACTCCATCTGATAGGATTTCTAATGAGTATGAGGCAAATTGCAGTGGACAAAAGGAAGTCCTAGTAGATGAGGTATTCTGGAAGTCAGAAAGTCACAGATAGATGTACAGACTTAGTCCTGTAATGTTTATGTGAAATTCTTTATAAGCTATAGTGGGTTTGTTTTTCCTCTGTTGGTCTCTTCTTCAGTTAAATGGCACAAAGGAGATAAGACCCGTTTCGTTTAGCCTTGCTGGCAGATGAGGACATGTTCTTGGGAAGCTGCTGATAGGATCTTCCATTAGAAAAAGCTGACACTGAGATAAACTAGTTGCTGGTGGTGACTGCCTGTACTACTTGCTTGTTTTGCAGAAAGTATTAGCAGGGATTGAAAATTGTTGTTCCTAATGAATGTTTCTTGGAGAGTGAAGGACAAAAAAATAAGTCTTAGTCAGTTTAAATAGTATCTGATGCCTTGTGTGAGGTCTGTGCTAATCATGCAGACACGTGAATGCAGAATTACCTGAGAGGCGGATGCGAGGTCAGTCATCCTGTAGATTTGTTGAACAGCTCTTTTAAATCTAAGTCACTGTGCAACAGTAGGTCAGTTAAAGTAAAATTATATTTAGTAGTAACTTTGTAATAAACCCACTAGACTCAGATGAGATCAGATTCATTATATTAGAGGTTGGACATATCCGTAATAAAAGACAGTCAGAGCTGACATCTAAATGGGGAAGACAGACACTGAAAATTGCAAGGTCTTGTTGCTGTCTCTGTTTTGGGCATGGGGAACAGGAGCTCAGAGCAAATTGGGAATCTGTGCAGTGTGGAACAATCTGGTCTTCTCTGGCCAAGACCAGACCTTTTCCATTTTAGATACATCATAGAGTTCTAGCTTTCAATTCTTCTGGGCTCTTTATTGCAACTTTTATTTAGGCCAGAGCTATCAAGGACATCAAGGGCTTCAAACTTGTGCAGTTTTAAAAACAGAATTATTTGTTCCCTTGACAATTAACTGGGGTTTTTTTTCTCATCTTTCATCTGTCCCCAGGCTGGATGATTGATGCTGATAGTCGGCCAAAATTCAAGGAGCTGGCTGCTGAATTTTCTAGAATGGCTCGAGACCCTCAGAGATACCTAGTAATTCAGGTAAGCAACTCTGCAACATCAGGGGGGGGGGGGGAAAAGAATTCTGTCTGCCAGACCTGACTGTCAGACCTGACTGTTAAGGGACTTGCCTTTGTATTTCTTAAATTCACTTAAAGCAGGCACTGGCCACAGCACTATGCAAGAGTGAAGTAGAATGACCAGTGTCAGTATCTAAAAAATAATAATAATAATTTTAAAATAATCTGAAATTATTTTCCTAAGCTTATATTTATGAGCACAAATACAAAGCACAAGCACAAATATGGCTTTTCAAACTTCTCAGTACTCTGCATTCTCTCATGAAACTGGGGACAAGATTTGTCTGTCAGTGGACTTACTTTAGACCCAGGACTTGTTTGGTTCTGCAATTGCTTGGGCTGAATCTCAGGGGATTATCCTGAAGAGACTCTTCCCTGCACTGCTGAGATCATAAGAAAGTTTCTTTTCATAACCTAAACATAAAGATTTCTCAGAAGACAGAGAGTTGTGTCACATTGGTACTTCTCATACTTCCCTCTATCCTCCTTAGGCTGTGTAGGCTCTGTAGTGCTTCACAGTCCCTGTGATAGACCCACACCAGCATGATTCATCACGTGAAACTACACTGTGCAGCAGGGCAGTACCAGTAGAGCCATATCCGTTGTCTTCATCTAGCTGGAGCTGTGCACAGCCTGAGTACAGGATTACGTGGAAATTTCTGTCCTTTCACTCCTATGTTCTGCAGAAGCCTAAAGTTGTGTATGTGTTTATTACAATTCAGACTCAAGCCACAGAAAATGAATCTGACTGTTTGGTAAGGTCCTTAGATGGTCCCAGTGTGTGAGCATAGTAATTCTTGCAGAGTGGGAGGCCATTCTTTAGTCATGCAGTTCAGGTTAGCATCATTTCTATGGGCTGTTAGGTGTTTGGGGCACAGGCTGCCTTTTGTGATGTTTTATGGCACCAAGAAAAGCACAGCCCTGCTTTGCCTCTCCAGCTTGTAGATGCTATTTCAATAAAAATATATATCATTGTTGTTGCTGTTGATCCCTGGTTTGATTTTTATTACTTTCAGCTCTGTTACATTCTTCAGAACTTGCCATATGGATGAGAGGGAAACTTGGTCTCCAAGTCCCTAGAAGTACAAATGAAAATAAAGCAAACACCCAGACACAGCAGTTTCCATGTTATTTTTCCCACAATGTGAGTCTAAATAGCTGAGATATTTCACAAAAAATATCAGGCCTTGACAGAACTTGGGTCACAAACTGAGCTTGTATGGGAAAAAGAGAAAAGAATAAAAGCTCAATCACAAGAACGCCAAAAAATGTCTTTGCTTGATTTATGCAGTTACTCCCTTTCTGTCATCATGTTTCCAGTTAAAAAATCAAAACAAATGATGTGAATGTGGTGCTTTAGAACAGACAAAGCAGCATGTGTGGTCCCTGCAGCCTGACTGCCAGGGCATGAAGAAGGCTGAAATTCATCGTTTGGGAAATGAATCCATCTTTTGACCGTTTTCCTCTCTCAATGCAACCTTAATTTAGGGAGATGATCGTATGAAGCTCCCAAGCCCAAATGACAGCAAGTTTTTCCAAAACCTTCTCGATGAAGAAGACCTGGAAGATATGATGGATGCTGAAGAGTATCTTGTTCCTCAAGCTTTCAACATCCCTCCTCCCATCTACACCTCCAGGACAAGAATTGATTCCAACAGGGTAAGAGCAAGCTCTGACAGAAAATACTGGTTATTATAAAAACACAGGTGGAGGTTTAAGTACACTAATCAAACACAGGCCAGAGTTGCCTTGGGAATTACAAGCTCCCATTGTAAGGAGAGTGACTATAAAAATGTTGTCACTGAGTTCCCTGTTCATTGTGCCTCAGTGAATTCTAAATTAATAGCTCAGCCTTGAGTGAACAAAGGTTCAACTTGAACTGCCTGTCCTGAAAGCACAGCTGAGGCTTGTGAAGTCAAGCAGTGTTGTTTCTCAGTTGCGTACCGTCCTGGCCAGGAAGGGCACAGCTCTGATTATCCCATCCCTGCAGTCCTGTTGTCTTGACAGGGTTGGCACTGCTGTAAGTGAGGGCAGCTGGAATACGTAGATAATGCTGCTTTTGTGTCTGGAACTAGATTTCAGACCCAGCCCCTTTTCCCGTTTGTATGTGATGCTTTCATGGCCCTCCTTCACAAGCATGTGTTTTTGCTGAGCACGTCACAGATTTTAGCATGTTGATCTTCATAACATCCCTGTCAGGGGTAGAAATGCTGTTCATTTTACAGGGGGAGCTGAGGCACAGAGAGTGTTTAGGTGGAATTCAGCTCACATAACTCTAACCATCAAAAGGGTAGGGATATAATCTGAACTCAATCTAGACTTCATTTCATGTCATTGGAGAAGAGTGGGTACATCCAGTGGGTCATCATTGCTGCCTCCCTTGGACATTTACAGTGGGATAAGTTACTTTCTGGAGGTGTCTTTCTCCATCCACTGACTACTGAAAGCTCCAGAGCACTCTCAGACCTGGTGCCTGAGTTCTGGTGAATTGGATCCTGTCCTAAATGCCTCAGCCTCAGTGCCACAGGAGCTCTGCTGCAGGTGGGGACCTGAGTTCAGGTTTCCTGAGTTCCTTTTCACTTTTGAGCTCCTGGACAGCAGTTCTGTCCTCTCCCTGTTTCTCCACTTGACTCCATCCTTGTCACAGTTTAGGTGCCACCCCTTCTCACAAAGCTAAGAGGTGTTGAAATGCATTACTAACGTTGAGGACATTCACACAAGCATCAGATCTGTTTAGTAATTAGGGACTTGTTTGTTTGCTTTCTCTCCATGCTCCTTTTAGTGGAAAGTCACATTTTAAATACTAAGTGGAGTCTCATTGAAATGTTGGTGTTTATTCTTCATACTTCAGTAACCTTTTGGACATGTGTCCTTAGCTGAGGTAGTTCCAAATTCCTACTCTGCTCTGAACTGATTACACCATGTGAGGCAGGGAAGAGGTAATCAAAGGAGCTAAGAGTATATAAGCCGGGTCAGTATTCATGTTCTGACTATACATGGCATGAAGTTCTTTTGCCTCTCCTGAATAAGGCAGTGCTTTTCTGAAATAAGGAAGACAAAATCTGATCTTAAATAATATCCAGTCAATTCATGAGGAAATTGCTACTGTTTTTAAAGGCAAGGAGGGTAGAGAGGTCTTTCAAAGAGACTGGGTTGTAGTCCCACTGGCTAAGCTGGATTCACGTGGCATTTCTCCTGCACCACTGAAAGTCAGCGAAGGGGGGGGTGATGCATGAGGAGATGATGCAGGATTTAGCAATAAGCAAGAAACTTCCTCTTTACGGCAACAACAGTTAATTTTTAGTGTTGATGCTCATCTGAAATAAATCAGTTTTACTCCTGGCTGTCTCTGGAGAGGTTCTGTTTCCTTTGCTGCCAACTTCTGAGAAAAGAAGGAAATGACAAGAGTTACCTTTGAAAGGTGCACACTGACTTACTGATGTAAATCACTGTAGCTTAGTTTTACACACTGGAGTACTAGCATTTACACCGACAGGGTTGAGAGAGCAGAATCAGATTCATGAGGCTTGCTGTATTCATCTCACTCCCATATTTGCTGGAAACACTGGGGCACATTTAAAGAAGAAAGGATTAGTAGAAAAATGTACTTGCCTTTTCAACAGTTCCTTTTGCCCTCTGTCTTTAGAGCCAGCCAAGCAGAGGAGTTCGCTAGAGCTGAGGGAATTAATACCAACAAAAAATCCTAGAGTAAATATTCTGAAAGAGTTCTTTAAAATGTGCTGTTTGGGCAGCCAACGTGCTCTCTGGGATATTCACAGAAAGCAGACACAGGCATTTATCATTATTATTGTTAAATGAAAATTCAGGTTACTTTCTCACAGCCTTTGCCCAACTTTAAACCACACTTGCAGCTGCTCACACACATGTGATCCCCTTGAAGTCAGCAGAGCTGCAGAAAGAGACTCCGCGCCTTTATTTTTGCCACACAGAGAGGCTCCATCACATTCTTGATGTGACATCTCCTCTCCACAGCTCACAATTTCCCATCTTGGTTTGAGACTGTGATCTTGTACCACTGAAGTCAGTGGGAGCTTTGCTTTGCAATTCAATTTAATGACAGTAGTGAGACTGTATCCTTCTTTCAGCAACTCCTACTGCTGGGAATTTTTCTCTGGCATCATACAACAATCTAACACTTAAAAACAAATCTGGAATTACCCTTTGTCAAAAGCTTTAGATTCTAAGCCAAGTTTTCTGACCCAGGTAACCCCAGAGAGGGCAGCTGAGGGACAGAAAGCATGCACCCAGCTTTATTTCTGCACCCTTCCATCCTTATAGTGGTTTTCTTTATTGTAGGAGCCTCTTTATGGAAGGGTCATTTTTAAGGCCAAAAGAAGAGATGGGGAAAGAAGTTGCCGTTGAACAACCAGCTGATTTATGACGGCACTTGCTGGTATCATTGGAGACTGACTGCTGTCCCATAACAGCATTACCAGTAGAATTTTGACATGTGTCCAGTGTGTCAGATTAGCTTAAGTCTCAGCTTTGTTTGCTAACAGTTCTGCGTCTCCTAAATACACTGCTAGTACTGCCACATAGGCCAGTACATCTAGATTGCAGGAAGGCCACAACACCTTGTTGCTGGAGGGCCTTGGGGCCAAATCGAAAGCCCCATAGCATCTTAGCAGTCCTGGTTTCCTTCACAGGGAGGTTTTTTCTGGATGTAGTACATTTGTTACCTCTCTGTGTGCAGAAAGCTACATGCTTGTGTGTTTTTCTGAAGGACTCGGGTTATTGGTGCATTAACTGTTCTTCCAGTGAAGATTGGTGTTGATGTAAAACAAAATACACAGTAGCTCCTTTAAGGTAATGGTGCATCTGCTGTGCATAGTTCAGTACAGATGGATGTCAGCTACAGGAATCACATAGAATTGAAATGTTGTCAGAGTTCTCTGTCTGCAGTGGTCTGATTCTGTCTTCGTGTTTCCTTTGAATAGTTTGTGATTTATGCTTGTTTGGTGTAGTGAATATTAATGTCACACAAACTCATTATGGTGCTGCTGCAGCCATAGATGCCAAATGAATTGATACAGCTTCGGTAGTTTGTGTTCACTGTGTCTGGCAAATTAAATTTTATGGGGAGGTTGCTAGGCAGTTTGGTGAAGTAAAACACACAGACGAGAGCGACATGATCTTCATGCCATTTTCAGAGATCAGAAGCATGAAAGATACTGTAAAATACTGTGTTTCCCATCTTAGTTGTTCTGATTGTAGTTTTTGTGAAGAAAGAGTCAGTTATGTGATGGTGGAGTATTGGGCTCCTTCTCTGGACATGCTGCACTGCCAGCTTTAGTTGAGTGTTCCAGCAACAAAGCAGCTCTACTGGGGACAAAAGTTTGCAGGAAGAAAGCAGAGAGATCATGAGCCTCCTCACTCTGAGGCTTTGAAGTCAGGGAACTAAGGAAGAGCAAGAGCATTTACTTTCTAAGGAAAGCTCTGAAGTTTCTCTAGGGTGATCTCGGTCCTAAATCCTTGCAGCTTGTTGCCTGGGAGAGGCACCACTGGATGAGGTTTACGTAAAACACTGCCTTGCCTTCTCCCTACCATATGAAGAAAAATGTTATTTAGATAGGAATTAATAGCACAGAGCTGCAGCCCACTGCACCCTCAGTCAGTTTGCAGATGATACCAAGCTGGGTGGGAGTGTTGATCTGCTGGGGGGTAGGAAGGCTCTACAGAGGGATCTGGACAGGTTGGATCAATGGGCCAAGGCCAGTTGTAGGAGGTTCAACAAGGCCAAGTGCCAGGTCCTGCACTTGGGTCACAACAACCCCATGCAATGCTACAGGCTTGGGGAGGAGTGGTTGGAAAGCTGCTTGGTGGAAAAGGATCTGGGGGTGTTGGTTGACAACTGTCTCAATATGAGCCAGCAGTGTGCCCAGGTGGCCAAAAAGGCCAATGGTATCCTGGCCTGTATCAGGACAGTGTGGCCAGCAGGAGTAGGGAAGTGATTGTCTCCTGCAACTCAGCACTGGTGAGGCTGCACCTCGAGTGCTGGGTTCAGTTTTGGGCCCCTCACTACAAGAAGGACATGGAGGTGCTGGAGTGTGTCCATAGAAGGGGAGCGGAGCTGGGGAAGGGCTGGAGAACAAGTCTTATGAGGAGTGGCTGAGGGAACTGGGATTGTTCAGTCTGGGGAAGAGGAGGCTGAGGGGAGACCTTCTCGATTTCTACAACCTC